TGCATTAAATGCAAATTATATTGTTGCTAGAATTGTTATTTGAGAACAAGAGCTCTTTTACAATATGAATCCTTTGCTTCTTTTTTTAAATCTGTTGAAAGTATCCTAAAATAAGTCCAAAATTAAAAAATGAATAAAAATTGTTGTTGAGCAGTTTTTGTGGTAAAAGAACAAATAGTTGAATAAAATTAAGGAGTATGAAAGAAACATACAAATATTACTAAATCATATTCTGTTAATTAAGAATCATAAATAGCACTCCAAGTGTAAAAAATACAAGATTATAACAAAAGTAATAGTTAGCTCCACTGTAAAATATACGGATTTAATCTAGGACTACGTCTGAATGCAATTATCGTTAAAAATGATGTAAGTGCATATTTTCAGTCCATCGTTGAACGCAATAAATTCAGCGAATATTAAACTGGCGAAATCGTTTGTTTGTTTGTTTGCGAAGAAAAATGAAGTGGAAGCCCATCGATAAATGTTCCGCCAACTTTATATGACAAGCTAATTAAACTTTCCTTAAAGATTCTTCTACTTTTTCACCTTCCACCGCTGGCACTCCAAAATGAAGAGAAATAAAAGAAAGCCCAGAAAGTTATGATTGGTATTATACGTTCCGATTTCCAATTTGAAGTAAAAACTGCCTCAAATCAAAGTGGCAATAAATCTAATCATTTAGGTAAATCTAAAATTTCAGGAGTTATAGTTTTCAATAATAAATGATTTAAATTAAATAATTTATTTGTTCAAAAAACATTATAGTCAAAATTTAGTAAGATTTAAATGCAAAATCATATAAATAATATAATGTGATGATAGAATTGCAAGATTAATCGGTATTGATTATATCAAAAATTAATCAAACTAATTTTCACTGCGTGAAGCGATATTATCCACTTTGAACATTATAAATCAAAGCACTAGATATAATAGTAAAACTCCACTACAACACAGTGAGTACTTCTGAAATAATCACACTAAGTAGTGCATAATTTGAAAATAATAGATATACTAATATTATGTTAATGGGTTATTATGCATACGACGTATTTATTCTCTAAAAAGTGCAATTACGCGTATATTGTACAATTTAGAAATGTTAATTAAGAAAATTCCAACAAACTTTTTATCGTATCCGCTTAAAATTTTAACCCTAATGTAAAACGGATGCTACTAATAATTCGACAGCGTCCCACCCGCTGACTTGGAGCTTTCCTTCTTCGTTTTTGCTTCGCTTCCATCCGAAAGAAATAGCGAAGAAAGTATACTACATTACGCCGCACGAGTTAATTAGTTCGATAGAAATTGCGTCACAATTTTAAAACATAAACTTCTTTCTTGTTTGTTCGCCTTTTACTTGAAATTACTTTGTGTTCTTACACAAGATGCAATTATGTGCCCGTTACTCAACTCTTTTTGTTATGTTTATTAAGGTGTTACTTTATTTTCAACTACAAAGCAAGATAATAAGTAATTAAGTTATATTTAATTAATTATTGATTTATTACTCGAAGAAATTTTTGTTTTTTGAGTTGCAGGCTTTTTAACTCTTTTTCTGTGTGTAAAAAGTAGCGGATAGTAGATTTGCAACGCTAGGCCAGCAAAAGTTTAAGAATGGGTGGTGCTTAATTACAATTTGCTCCCGATACTGGCGGGTACAGCGAGTTTTCTTTATCTTGTTCCGTCCGGCGACGTTTGCAATCCTTTCAACTTTCCACGGCTTTTCTGTTTCTTTTTTCTGTTGCCATTTTGTGTCCCACTTGCTCCCTATCTTTTGCCCGCCGTAAGTCTTTGTTTTATTCCAAAGTTTCCGACCTTAGAAGACTTAATAAACAGAGCGCAAAATAATTAATCATTTTTGGATGAAACGCAGAAAGAATGCCGAAATACGAAAATTAATTTCAGATGCAATTTATGTACCAAACAGCAATATTTATCAAAATAAATAAAACGTATAATGAGTGAAAAAGTCATCATTGAAATTTAATTAAACGCTTTATTAATTTACAGTGATAAATTGATGCAATTTATAAGTTTCGGTGTAGTTTAAATGTGATTGCGTTTCGCAACAAAGCGCAATGCGTTGTGACATATTTTGATAGCGTCGTTGTTCGTCGTTTGCAGATTTTCTACGTTTGACATGTTGATCCAATTTGGTTTAGTCACCGCTAACGACGTCATTCCAGATAACCGCTGATTTAAGACCGCCTCGAATGCCTTTCATTGGAACGACATCTTGTTTTCTCTTCCTTCTATTCGTGTCTATTTGCCCTCATTTCCACGTTGCCAACGTTTGAAACAATGTCCTCTTACATTTTATGTGATGCAGAATTTATGTAGCAAAATAAAAACAGATATTGTTAGTACATTAAATAAATATGTCATCGTGCAACGCTATTTCTTTGGTTTTTGGTCAAAAGATAACAAATACATTAAAAATTCTTAGAAATAATATTTGAGAAACAAGAAAATTTAAAGAAAATGTAAAGCCTATGATGACTTTCAAAATCCACGCTGGGTTTCTCAATCCTTTTTCAGCAACACTCCAATATGGGCATCCAATCGCCCACAGTTCGTTGAATACTAAAGACCCGGCTGACTTTATTGCCACTTTTACTTTTCGTCAAGACTTTTTACTCCCCAAAGCAGAGAGAGGAGAAAAACACACAGCTGAAGAAAGCAATGGATCAGAGAATGGCAAACATTTGAAAGTTGACAAAGCGAACACAAAAGTTTACAAGTGTAATCAGAAAACCAATGACATGTAAAATAGATACAACAACAAAAACGGCCCAAAACGTCTGCGAGAAAAAAACTAGCGAAGGATTCCAAATAAATAGATTTTAGATAAAACTTTTTTCTAAGTTCAGCGTTTTTTATTCACGGACTTGATTAGAGTATTTTTTTCTTCTTGAATAGAAGAATATTTACGAGTAAAGTTTATTTATTTATTTATAATATATAGTATTGTTTTAATTAAATATTGAGTGTATTTATTCTAAGGATAAAAGAAGCTTTAATTCAAAAAAAATGTTTTTTTATTTATTGAAGCTTTTGATTGTTTGCCTAAAGATTTAATCAAAGTGGCTCCTTTGACAGCTTAGAAGTTACTTACTTTAGCAATCGACTAAATTTATAAACACAATTGATGAATAATAAATATACATACTGGTAATTTCCAATAATAACAAAATTTTCTTCCCTTGCAAACAAAAATGTACAAACTTTAAACTCACCGAACAAACTGTATGTTTGATTTATTTAGCGAGGCAAAAAGGAGGAAAACATCAGGTGTGCCGTTGGCGGAATATAAAATCGAGAGCGTTTTACGCTTTCAAGGAGTTGGTTTGGCTGGTAAACATGCTGTTTAGCATCTTTAGGAGTCTTCCAGGTTTCCTTTTGCTCTCTTGCCCATTATACTTGAGCATATCTTATTACTTGCACCTATTCGCCATGATTTCTGCACGAATGTTTTTCGCCACGGCCACGCTAAGTAGAAGAGGCGTACGTCGAGTGTATAAATGCAACATTATCGCAACGCCACAGCGCATCGCCACGCACCGAAGGGATGAAAATGAAGGAACAAGCACATCGCGCGTTGTGGTTGTGGCTGAACGAGGACGATATGCAAATCTACTATCGTCACGATGAAAGAGGGTTCTGGGCTTTATCACGCCGGCGTGGGGCGTCTTGTAAAGGATGCGAAAACGCGCTACGCAACTTAATAGTAATCTAAGGACTGAAGGAACCGACGCTCTGCTGTAAAACCCTGGAAAAAATCACATCTTTTAAAGGATAAGCATGTTTAAATGTGCTAAGTTTATTTAAAACTTGCACACAAATGATAATGAACAGTTTATATCAAAAAAAGTTCATGTGTAGCGGAAAATTGTACAACAAAGAAAAAAATCAAAAAAAGTTAGAAATTAAATCTATTCCACTTTAATTTCCGGTATGTCTAAAGTTTGACGATTTAAAGGAATAAACAGACACAGACATCAATATAATAGTAACAATTTTCTATTAGATTTTGTAATGACCTGCCAATCAATATTATATTGTGAATGGCACCTCTTTGTGTTTGATTAGATTTCATTTCAGTTCCAAAAATGTTTTTAAATCAGTAATTTTGATATTTTAAAGGAGAGTATTTGACTTTTACAAAAGTACCTAGTTTTTCAGTACGTAGCATTCCATAGAACCTGAAAATTCGCCAGGAAGAAGACGTGATGTCTGCGGTTTGATCTTAATAAAGTTGTCAGCGCTTCCATGAAGCGGATGGCAATCGGACGACGACATGATGAGATGATGGGATGACTTGCATTAGATAGACGAGGGTTTCGTCAGCGTCGGCGGGGCGGTGCGCAACTGGTCTGCTTGGAAATTCCTGCGGGCGCTGTTGGAAGCGCATCTTAAGATGTGAGTGTTGATGTTGTCATCAGGCTCACTTGAAGTTGGCATTTACTGTGGCAGCTAGGACATTCTTGAACATTGCTACAAACATGTCGGAGAGTAGAAAAAGTTAGATAAAGTTTTAAACGTAAACTTTAAGTTATTTTTGTGGGGACCATATGGATTTTTTGTATAATTTAGCGTTTGGCAAGGTTTTTTTCAAGATAATTTTAGATACAGGCGCGATTGTTTGATAATAAACATCCGCTCGGTTTGAACAGTGTTGGGTCAGATAACATGTAGCCTTGGCGAGACGAGTTTGAAGTTTACACTGACTCAGTAAGTCGCAGATTATTAGCGCGGTTGGAGCAGTAATTATATAAAATTAAGACTGGTGTAAAATATAATATAAAAGTGAATAAAGTATTAATTTATACTAATTAAATGAACTGTTTTATTTAAATTGGATTTGAATTCGATAGTGAATTCTTAACAAAAGGATTGAAGTTGGCAAGAAAAACCACGCCCAGTAAAATGAATTCATCTCTATGAAAATAAAGAGAGGTATTTGATTACGATAAATTTTCAAATTTGTATCTGATTTTTTTATGTTTCTTAATCTCATGTGGATTTAGTACTTTTTGTATAGACATGTGTAATTTTTTTAGATCACTTTATACCAGTTAATAATTTAATCAAGTTAGTTTCAATCAGGATTCGAACACAAACTTAATATTAAAAGTTAAAATATGGAAAAAAAGCAACAAAGAAAAAAGAAAAAGAAAGGACCTCCGCCTCCTCCACCACCAATATATATTCCTAATTACAAACCAACACTAAGTTTGACAGATGAGGTAATCAACTATGTGTAACTGCTGCAATTCTCTCTTATCTCTAGGAGTAACTATTTTTTTTATTTTAATATTTTTAGGGGTTTATTGCAAGCAGTTCCACTGATATTAAAACTGTGGAGAAAATTCAAAACACGTATACATGTACAATTCTGCAAGTAGCAGATGCTATGAGGCAAAACGATTTATTGAAACTTCTAGAGAAAGTAGAAGTATTGGATAATGAAACCAAAGATTATGTAATAAGTGAAGCTCTAAACTATATGCATATGCATGGCAGAACCTTATCAAAGGAAATGCACAATAAAATTCGTTGTATACTGATGCAATCGCGATTTTATAGGATTTATGATCCTAAAAAAGATAGCAACACTTATAATGACAATATACAACAACTGGAATTTATTCATTCTTGTTTTGAAGGATTACTAAAAATGAACTCTCCTAGTTTTATGGACAATTATATCAAACAAATAATATTTTATGGTACTGAATTGCAGTTTGGTAAAGATTGGGCAAAGGATTTACCATGGAACATGTTTGCGTTCTATATTCAACAATATGCGGGATTTGTCCGAACTTCAAACCATAAGCATCTATATCAAGTCGGTATTATCACCGAAAACAAATTTCAAACCATGGTTGAAAATTTTAAAAAGATATTTGAAATGACTTTGCCAAACAATAGTATAGTGTACGAGCATTTTCAAAAGGAGAATGCAAAGATGGCGGAAGAGATGAAGACATATTATTACGAATTGAAGGATTTGCATTCTCTCGAAAAACTATATAAAACAGTTGTGTGTTCTGATACAACACATTATTATGGATATTTAAGAAAATTACAAGCTTGCGGAGAATACCTTAAAAGTACTGATCAAACTCCGAATATATCAGGGGAATTGAAAGAATTGTTGACGAAGTGTCTCCCCATGAAAGATATGAAAACATTTAGGGATAAAGTATGCCATTTAAAATCTATTCCAATTGAAATAAAAGATGCTGAAAAATTGAACGATTTAAGCAATTTGATTGCAAAAATTGCTAAACAAATTAAACTCACTTATAAATTAATACAATTGGAAACTGCAGTAAAAATAAAAAAGTTAATATTACAATCACCTGAATCCATCCCAATGCCACACGTAATAAAACATGAGCTCTCTTCATTCCGATCAGCTTTTGGTACATTACACGAATCTCCCGATCGAAACATACAACTGCGCAAAGACAATGTGAATCGGTTGTTTGCATTGATGGAATTTCATTACAACGTAGAAGGTGGATACAATTACAATTTACTAAAAGTGTCAGATGAGCAAATTGAAGCAGAAAAGCAAAAACTTTTGTCAGAATGGCCAATTGATCAATCAGACGACAAAACACTACCGAATTTAATTGAGACTGTTTCAAATCCTCCATTATTCAGTGATGATGCAGACGAACATTATCGAGCATGTTTAGAAATTCTAAAAACTGAAGTTGAAAGGAAAAACGATTTAGGTGTTGAATTGCTCTTGATGCTGATTTTAAAAATTGCTGATGAATTGAGGAATTTTAATCTTAATCGAAAGTGGTATACAGAGTTATGTGCTACGCTTACTGTTAGATCGTTACGAAATGATTTGGCTCACGGCGATCTTTATGTGGATCTCCTAGAAATCGATAGAAAATCGACGATTTACGATATTGCAAATATTTTAATTGGAGAACTTGAAAATGAAACTGCCAGGAAACAAAAAGAATGTGGTAAAGTAACACAAACCATACCAATGCCAGAATTACGAACAAATACTAATTCAGAACTGGCGCTTATAAAAATAAAAGAAGATCTTGGATATCAAATCCAAAAAGGGTGTATTACTGAAGTGCAAAGGCTAGTGAACAAAATGAAGACGGAAGATATTGAGTGGCGCGATTTATTAGATACTACTGCTTTAAATCTGGCCGCAGGCAATGACCTAGACAATGTGGAACTATTTGAGCTGGTATTTGATGAAATTGGTGATCACCAAAAATGGTTTCGAGATGATCTCGGTGATACAATGTTGCATGTAGCTGCTGAAAAAGGCAATGTGCGAATTTTATCAAATATTTTAAAAACGAAGGCTTCATTCTACACAAGACATGTTCATGTCATTAACTACAATGGTGATACACCATTTCACAAAGCAGCGATTGCAAATCAGTCACGTACTTTTGAAATATTGTGTAATAGTTGGTTCAGTAAACATATCCAACTTTTTAACGAAAATGCGCAGGGTGCAATACACTGTGCAATTGTATTTGATCATATTGACGTTATTGAAGTGTTTGTGAAATGGAATTATCACCAACCACTTGATAGTGTTCGTGCAGTAAGAAACCAAACTTGTCTTCACCTTGCATGTGACTACAATCACAAAAATCTGATTCGTTATTTCATAGAACGTGAATCTGACGCAAATACGATTGACAAGGACATTGATACGCCATTATTGTTAGGAAAGCAGTTTTCGAATGCACACGACGTGCTAATGATTGAAAAATATATGAATCCTATAATGGAGGATAATAAGATGCATTCGGCTGTTAAATGTAATGCACCATCTAAGTTTGAAGAGATCTATAGTATTGCACCTTTTTTAATATGGACCACAGATATCGAAGGCAAAACACCCGTTGACAATGTCATTTTGGGAAATAATAGAGAAATGATTGAGTTAATATTTCATCATGTTTTACTAGATTATTCGGAGAAACCATATATATACAAAAAAGTGATTTCCATCATGTGTGATAGCGAATTAAAATGTCTTGATGGACCATGTGTAAGGCTAATACTAAATTTTGTTTTAAATACTCTTACGGAGAAATTTAATGACAAATTGGCGTGCTTTTGGGGATTGTAAGTACAAATAGAAGTAGAAAATTTACAATAATTACATTTAATGCTGATTTATTATTAGCACTTTATTGGGTCAGATTGTGAAAGTTTTCGAAGATATCTACATACTTAAAACTACCATCATTAGAATAATGTTGGAGAAAATCAGTTTATTTGAAAACGATGACCGAATAATTAAATGCGTTCATGATGTGCTTACCTGGTGCACGTTTTTAAGTGAAGAGGTATTAAAAAAAAAGTATTTGCATTTTTGAAAGCGACTATTTAAATTTTTGGTAATTGCAGGCATATATTTGCTTAAGTAATATTTTGGTTAATTATTTATCCAAGGATAATTTTATCAACCATTACAATACATTAGATTTAATCTCTTGGTTAGTAAAAATCGGAACATATGAACAAAAATCCACATTCGAGACTATGGGTTTAATTCAAGTAAGTTAATTTTGAGTTATTCTTTAATTATATAGTCATTTATTGTAGGTATTATTTAATATCAAAAATGCCGATTTTGATGAGCACGAAAAAATTATTGAAATATTATTCTTGTTAACGTGCGATCATGGAAAAAATACACAACTCTTTTTGGAAAACAATGGTTTGTCCTTTTGCATCAGGAATTTTAAAAGTGGTGTTGGCAATCGGTATACATCGGTGACGACAAAACTCTTATGTCTCGCACTGTCGTCTGAACATTTACCTGAACTATTTGATGCGGTAACTAACACCGACATTATAAACCTGTTAAACGATAGAAGTGATGAACTGGTTTGGGTAACATGTGGCTTACTGGTACAAATTTGGTCACTTAAGAAGAACGTATTTAACAGTGATCAATTAAAAGATTTGGTTTGTAAAAAAATGGAGCGCCTAAAAGAATTTTGCACTGTTCCAATTTTGGACATGTTTGACTGGCTTCTTGTTCTTCTGAATGAAGATTCATTTGAATGTCAGTACTGGGCAGCGTGGACTATTAAAAATTATACACGGCGTAACCCTGAAACAATGAGTTCATTCGTGAATGAAAACTTGCCACAAATCGGAAAGCGGAAATCTGAAATTAGCGATATGCTTGCAGTTGCAATGGAGGACGCTGTTATAGAAAGTAGCCGAGATATACTTTAATAAGTGCAATTTTCATATATTAATATAAATAAATTCAAATGGTTATCCATTCAATGGTTACGTAAACTTTAAGTTATTTTTGTGGGGACCATATGGATTTTTTGTATAATTTAGCGTTTGGCAAGGTTTTTTTCAAGATAATTTTAGAAACAGGCGCGATTGTTTGATAATAAACATCCGCTCGGTTTGAACAGTGTTCGGTCAGATAACATGTAGCCTTGGCGAGACGAGTTTGAAGTTTACACTGACTCAGTAAGTCGCAGATTATTAGCGCGGTTGGAGCAGTAATTATATAAAATTAAGACTGATGTAAAATATAATATAAAAGTGAATATACTATTAATTTACCCTAATTAAATGAACTGTTTTATTGAATTAATTGAATTATTTTATTTAAACTGGATTTGTATATGATGCTAAATTCACAATGAAAGGAGTGAAAGGAGCAAATCGAAGCGAACCGCGCCCATTAGAGATGAATTCACAAATTCTGGAAATAAATAAAGAGGTATTTGCGTATTTGAATTAAATCTTTTTGCTTCTTGTTATTTTGTATGTTTCTTAGCCTCGTTTCACATGAAAGTGGAATTCTCTCTTACTTTTTAGTATTATAAAAAGGAATCATATAAATGTACTTATTTTTAGGGTTATATGCAGTTATATGCAGGATGCACTGACCCTACAAGGATCGAAAAGCTTCCGAATTTATATCAAGATATAATTCTTGAAGTTGTAAATGCCTTGACAGAAAACAATTGCTTGAGACTTGAACAAGCAATCCAACATTTAAACAACAATACTAAAGATATTGTAATATGTGAAGCATATTGTCATATTTGCAGACAAGGTAATACAATATCCGCAAAAATGCGCAACCGCATACATTCGATACTCGTGCCTTTACGTTTTTATAACGTCACTGAGGCAGGAGTTGAAGCCAACACTGATAGAAAGCTGACAATTGAATATCTAAATACATTATTACAGGAACTACAAAAAGAGGATTCAAATGATTTGAAAAATTATCTTGTTAATAACATTTTGTTTTTTGCTAATAGCTTTAAATTTGACAGTAAAGAACATAAAATAGAATTGCCGTGGAATTCGTTCCTATTCTACATTCATCAATATAATGATTATTATATGAATGCACATAATGAAAATCATGTATATCAAGTAACGGTTATCAAAAAAACACAATTTATCGATTATGTTAAATGCTTTAATAAGGGCCTAGAAATGTTCCTAAAAAATTATAACGATATCGAAAAATTTAAAAAGTATGCAGCGCAGATAAAAGAGCCTATTGATAAAACGTATTGGGAATTAAGAGATTTGCATACTTTACAAAGATTACATGATTTATTTGAACCTCGTCAAGAAGCTAATTATTATGGACTTTTAAGAATACTGCAAATGTGTGGTGAATGTGTTAAAGGAAGCGAGCCAACGCCAAATATGTCAGAAAATCTCTTAAAATTAATGGATAATATCTTGCCATTGAAATCTATCAGGTCAATTAGAGATATGGCGTGTCATTTAACGACGATTCCAGGCGATAAAGAAGATTATTCAAAATTGAGCAGATTAATTAATAATATATTTATAAAAATCGGAGATGTACTCGTATTTAAAAGATTTGAACAAGCTTTCAAAATAAAAGAGTCAATATTAAGCACACCAGATTTAATATCGATGCCACACACGCTAAATTTTGAATTTTCCTCATTTGAACCAGGCATAGGAACATTAGATGAATCTTCCCTCAGAAGCAATCAACTTCGTGAAAATCAAGTCAATCGCCTATTAGCAAGGTTTGAATTCAACAACAAATTGCGAAAGGAATACAATTATAACTTATTAGAAATGTCATCAGCAAATTGGAAAGAAGCTGAAGAAAACTAATATCTGAGTGCAAAGTAAGTGATGCGGACAAAGACATTTTATCAGATTTACTTAAAGAGTTTAAACGGCTTAATAAGGAACAGGGTACACCAAAAGAAAAAGCGAAGCGGAAGGATGCGAATGGAAAAAATTTGAAGAAGACCTTGAAATAAATTATGAAAAATCTTTAAGAATTCTAAAATTGAGGTGGAAAAGAAAAACGATTTAGGTGTTGAATTTGTTTTGATTATTATTTTAAAAATCTTGGATGAAGATTTGAAGAGATTAAATCAGAATAGAAATTGGTTTTTAAACAAATATCCCACTCTTACTGGAAGGCAACTCCGAAACCATTTAGCTCACGGTGATCCTCTTGCAGACATACTACAACTTAATAGAAGATCTGTCGTCTATGATACTGCAAATATGCTTATTGAGGAGATTGACGATAAAAATAAAAGAATCCAAAGGAAATGTGAAAAAATTATGCCACCCATGAGTGCATTAGAGTTAATTGCGAGACATAATTCACCATTAACCATTCTAAAATTAAAAAATAAAATAAATGATCACATTCAAAGCGGGTGTATCGAAGAGCTAAAAAAACTATTGACAAAAGCCAAAATGGAACAATATGAATGGAGCGACGATATCACGGTTTTAAATTTGGCAGCGGGCAATTCACTTGATAACGTTGAACTATTTGATTTAGTATTTGTTGAAGTAAAAGATAAGTTTTCTTCTCGTCAGTTTAGAGATGAATTTGGAAATAACATGCTGCATGCGGCTGCTGAAAAGGTAATGTGCAAATTGTTTCACACATCTTAAAATCCAAAAAGTTATGTCGTAAACTTTACGCTAATATCGCTAACAGTAATGGTGACACACCATTTCACGCAGCCGCAATTGCTAAACAACTTGGTACTTTTAAAGTATTGTGTAACAGTTGGTTTAGTAAGCATCTTTATTATTGCAACCATAGTGGTCATACAGTTATACATAGTGCAATTGTATATGATTGTATTGATATCGTTGACATGTTTCTGCAGTGGAATTATGACAAATCAATCGACGAGATCCTAGGAGAAAACAACCACACTTACCTTCATCTGGCAAGCGCTCACAATAAAATGAAGCTAGTTCGTTATCTTGTTGAACATGGCTCCGATGCGAATGCAAGAGACAAAAAATTGCAAACGCCATTATCACTCTGTTTGCAATTTTCGAATTCGCCATTATCGACAATGTTGGGACAATATATGAATTCTGTTAGCGAGGATAATCCTATGCATGATGTAATCACTTCGAAATTAGGTACTTTTCAAGAGGCATATAACATTGCACCATATTTCCTTTGGACAACAGCTAATGACGAACGCACACCAATTTCACTTGCTATTACGGATAATAATTTAGAATTCATGGAAGAAATGTTTCACCAGGTGTTATTAGATTATTCCGAAAAACCTTACATATTCAAAGCGGTCATTGCTAACATTTGTAACAGGAATTGGAAATATCTTGAATCATATGTAAGATCACTCTTGAATCTAATTCTGAATAATGTAATGGACAAGGATAATGATAAACTCATGTGTTTTTGGGGATTGTAAGTATTTAGAGACTTCTATAACTAAAAAGTGTCAATAATGATCTTTCAGCATTCTGTTGGGGAAGTTTTAAATTCAATTGAAGATTTCTGCATTCCCATAGAAACAATCATTAGAATAATGTTGGAAAAAATCAATTTATTTGGATGCGATGACAGAATTATTGCATGTTTTTATTCCGTATTTGCTTGGTGTGAAACTCTAAATGAATCGGTAGGTGATTCCAAATACTTTTCCAGTATATGTTTTCATTTTGTGTTTTGCAGGAATTTTTAGAATTGAGTCACATGCTTTGTAATAATCTGTCGGAGTATTGTTACATCAATCATTTCAATACATTAGATTTATTATGTTTGCTAACAAGAAATGCAACAGATCAACAACGAACTGAATTAGGATCTATGGATCTAATTAGAGTAAGAATGTACTTTGTTAATTTTCTGTTTTAAATATTTGTTTACCTTTGCAGGTATTAGTTAATATTGAAAATGCAGATTATAACGAGAAGGAAGTAATTATAGAAATAATGTACTATTTTACATTAGATCATGAGCAGAATAAGCTCCAATTTTTAGAAGACGATGGTTTAAGGTTTGCCATTGAAGATTTTGATAACGCTATTAGCGACTGGCATAAAACAAAAGTGGCTGAACTATTATGTACTACAGTAATGTCTGTGCATGTTTCCAAGGAATTAAATAGCATTTTGTCTAATGCGATAACTTTTGCTGACATTAAAAACATGTTTCGTAACACAAATCAAGAATTGAAGTGGGCAACATGTGGAATTCTTCTAAAGATTTACTCATTTAATGAAGATTTGTTCAAAATGAACGAATACGAAGCATGTTTATGGATAATATGAAGAAGAAATATTTCATGGATTTTTGTACAATTCCGGTTTTAGATAGTTCTGATTGGTTGCTTAATCTCTTGTTAGATGATTCATTTGAATGTCAGTATTGGGCTGCTTGGACTATTAGGAATTACACACGACGTGACACTACAAAAATGTATAAACTAGTTACTGAAACTTTGCAGAATAATACCAAGCGTAATTCTGAAATCGACGAGTTGCTAGCAGTTGCCATAGCTGATGTTTACTTTACTTAGCTTAATATGTATTAGTATATTTAAAATTGTATTTATTTAACAGAAATAAAGAAAATTAACTTATTGAGTTTCTAGAAACTGGTTAAAAAAGGTTACTCAAAGTTGCAATATAGTGTCACCGAATATAAGATTGAAATGTGCAAACCGCGCCCACGAAGAAGTGCAACTTCACTGCCGAGCGCTTTTTGACGAATGCTCTCATATATGCGGAATATGATGGGGTGCATAAAATATTCATGATACGTTGCCATTCCTATTGCTATCGTTGTGGCTGACTTTGCATTTTTGTATTCCTGCTTTGTGCTTATGGCAGGCGCCAGGACGAAGGAGCAATAGCTTGAGGACTGCTTCTGCAAAACGGGAAATGTGTGAGCGGAAGGTCTGCACCAAAAGAATCTACATATAAATACATATAAATATAAAATTCGGTTGCCTAAACCAGAAAGAATGAGATACGTCGCTAACATATCAGCAAATTCCATTACTAATCGCTTAATACTTTAGGACGCTGTGAATATTGATATACATTTTGAGGTTATGGTGAATTTTAGAGGCTTTATTTTAAGGTTATGATAACAAGAGTGGTACTCTATTGCTACCAGTGTATAGGAATCATGTAATTGAAATAGTTTATCAATTTAAGTGGTTACGAATTTGGATTCGAGCGTAAAATTAATTCCAGAGCAAAATATGGAACTGCATAACATAACCGATCAAATATATTATATATAAAACTGATATGTATTGAAATATGAAATATTTTAATTGAACTTGACAGCAGTAATGGCGTATAAAATGAAAATGGTTTCAAAATGATTTCTAAACACTGTAGTGTTTTAGAGTGACTTTTCAAATCGTTTCAGTTATAGTAATAAACGTTAATAGTTATTATTCATACATAGAAGCTTAATAAATTTTAATCAAAGAATGTTGATGTATGCACTGAAGCAGAATTTGTTTGAAAGCTGTATAGCATAGGCACCAACACTTAGCCCTTCCTCAATATCACATTACTTAATATTTGTGGATGTGTGTACATTACATCACTTGCTCTTGCAAAAAGGGTCTTGATCGTATACAAAGCGAGCAGCGAGCGGCAAGCAAAGTGCGCGAAGTGAGCGTGTGGCCGCCGTCGACATATAATCGATTATATTGATAGTATTTGGGGTTGCTTTAAGGGCAAAGGCAGATGCGATGAAGAGCCGGCGAGTTTTCGGTCGGCCGACAAGCTTTGTTGTGGTACGCCGCCAATGTGTGCCTCTGTTCTTAATTGACTAGTTGTTCAGCCGATATTCAATATAAGCTGGCGCATAAAGTGTGTGTTTACGCAATCCCGACCAACACATTAATTTGATACCCTTGCCATTGTAATTTATTGCTGTATATTTATAAATATTGCAAAAAATTGATCGATACTGGGCGTAATTCTAATGCTAATGAGAATTGTTTGTTTTGTTGCAGGTAAATTTGAAAAATTCCACCGCCCAGACACATTTATCGCCCCGCTGGGTGCGATTCGACGGTATCAAAGGTTAATCAACGTTTAATCCACGCGTCGCCTGCTAAAAAGTAGGTGCGTGTTGAAACCCTTTCGTGTGACCCGTAACAAACACAAATATGTAGGAGACTATTAATGTATCATAAATCGTATTAATGTTGAGGGTATTAAAGGGCAAGCCATAGGAAAATATGCCAAAGAAAAAGTTGTAACTTAAGGTCAATCATTCCAGAATTGATTTTATATCCAAGAAATACAAATCTAACTCTTTTTTTGTTTTTTTAACAAAAACATGTAATTGATACGTTTCAGTGTATTGTTTATATCATTATTACATTGCCAGCCATAGTATATATTTCCATGTGTTTGATTTTCATAACATTACGCGCCTCTTGTTCTTCGGCTGCTCGTTTCGCGCACGAATTGTTTTGTCTACTTTTTCAGCGCTCCATTCGGGCGTACGCAGTTATTACTGGTTCGCTACGTTTCTACTGATATGAGTTTTGTTTTATGAACGCGCGTTCAGCGGGAGACTTTTATTTTGCTGCGGCGCGAGGTGCACGATATGCGATGGAATGAAACAAGAAGCCTTCATTAATATTTGACGCGCCGGGTGATGACGCGCGCTCCGTAATGACGCTTTCCATTTTCGGCGCGTTCCAGCTGCTGCCAAATACACTCTTTTATATTTTTTTCTCTGCGTGCGTACCAGGATTGACGAAATTTACATGACTATGCATGGTTATCTGTCTGCGTGTGCGTACGCACGTATGTTTCTGGCAGTAATTACAAAATTCAATGGTCATTAGACGTCATAAATCAAAATTTGTTGTGTATTAATGTATTAAAAATTGAGACCGTGGAATGGAAAAATAATGGATGCATGAAGAGATAAGCTATCTTTAATCAACCCTAGATATATGCCAGTTTTTGTAATTATTGTATATTATCTTCATAAATAATGTCAGCAGATTTATATTAAGGAAATTTTACCTGTCACTAGCGCCATCTGGTATTAGTATGTAGTACTGATGTATATAGCCTCAAAAAATGACAAATGACAGAGATAATCGTAATACATTTCGTTATATCACAAGAATTGAAATTAAATTAGTATAGCTTGATGTAATCCACAGATATTGACTTCAATATTGAATTCACGTCCGTGGAATATTTTTAATCAGATATGTGAGTAGATATATGACAAAGCCTTTCAAATTACACACAATTTTTAATTTTTCCAGGCATTACCATAAAATCTCCTCGCTTCTTTTCTGTGGCGAGTCGAGCTAGACATGCGTGGTGGCTGGTAAGCTTTTCATCCAGCTCGGTGAAAGCGCTGCCGGTGCACACGCATCACGCACACACTTACACCATACAACACACCCGCGAAGATCCGTCCGGATCTAATATAATAATTCACCGCGTTTAAAGTGGTTGCCGGAGTTGCCGGCGCGCCAACCGACTTGGATGCGGTGTTACTAATACAAGAGTCTCACCCGTTCCACGTTTCTGCGCTTCTTTAACCGACTGTGTGCATGTTCATGCAGACGAGCAGGGAAGTAACGCCGACATACATCGTAGTTACTGTCTTCCGTACGCAAAGCGCGTTCATAACATAATAATATAATAATATTGCATGCGGGTACGATGAGAGGGTGCTACGGCTCATCCCAGGCCCTTTCCGTTTGGCAAAGCGCGTTCGCCGGCGTTTCCTTTGCCACCACGTCGGCTTTCCAACGCTTCGCTTCTATCGCAGGAGAGTTTTGCGAATCAACATCATAATATTGAGCGCATTAATTAAGAAATGTTCATTTTGTTACCGAGGGCTTAATGGAATGTTTTATTTTTGAGATTTTGAATACGCCAAAAACTTGTGAGGCAATTATAAAAGCAGGTCATATACCGAAATATAAGGTCTAGCCGCTTTTGATGGTCATTACCCACATTGGTCAGCGGCAGCGAATGTCTCCCACAGTGCGGCCTTGCGCCCGCTGGCCGACGTTTAGCCGAGGCAATTAAAAGCTGTTTTTCGCCGCTGATTTACCAAAGTGGAAAACGCCCGACTGGGTCTGGGCAGACCGTTAGGCACGGTTCGTTAAATTTTAAGCGCGTTTGGCGATTTCTACAGCGGTGCCGATAGCAGATTTACTCTCCGAGAAATTCCCGACAAGAATATGTCCTTTGGAAGCGTCACAGAATCTAAGAAGGTAGAAAGAGCTCGGAAATGTTCTATAAATATGTGGCGGTGGACGCAATGGAAACGATGGAAATGGCGTTTATTTCTTTAAGCCTTTCTTGATGTGGCTGCGTCGACCACCAGCAGAAAATCCACGGCGTTTGATCGAGGACGTGTCAGGTCAAAAAAAAGCACGCCCACGCCATATCCCGATATTTTATGCAAGAGCGCGCCATTCAGACGCTTTTCGTGCTCTCGGCTCTCGGCGCGCTCTCACTTCTCAGACTCGCATCGAATTCACACGGACGTCAAATCGACACCGACGCTGCCACTGAATCGTCAAAAGAACCTTTCATTTTACCCGAACTGATCTGGTGAAGCAAAAGGAGTTAAAGCACGACGAATGTTTTTAAAGGGTGATCCGAAAATGCCTGCCGAGGAGACTGCGAGCTTTGCGTTGTGCACACGCCGGCAAAAAAATTCACGCGCCTCGGCATAATCATCTTGTTTTATAGTTTTTCACCGGTTCGCGTCTTCGACGCCATCGCCGGCGACGGCCTTTCTTTTTTATGTGAGCGCCGCACTTATGTCAAAGATTAATGGACTCTCCTTCGCGTTATGGACGCTGAAGGAACGTGAAAAAGGCATAAAATTCGATTTGCCCGCTTCAGCATCGCTTTCCTGCCATTGCCGCCACTCAATTCGACTTCATTTACACACTAATATTGCACACAGCATGAGTTTCATACACTTCTTATTTCATTTAATCAACCGCCAGGAAAATTTACACTCAATCAATATTTTAGGTTAATTATAATCATATAAGTAGTTGAAGTGTCGCCATCTTGAATTTAGTAATATACCTTTCTACTTCATTCCATATCTACACCTTTAATCTAATTGCTTGATATATTGCAGCAGCAAATCATTTCGAATAATCATTAATTTATTCAGAAAGTAATTACACTAGGCATTAAAATGATTTGTTCCGCATGGCCGCATTCTCTTAGTGAAAGGCTTTGTTCAATTCCCGGAGTCAGAACCTAATATTTCGAAACACAAGCTGAATATATGATGTGTGAGCAATGTGCCTAAGCAGCGTTATGCATAGGAGGATCCTTTTCAATATAAATGCGAATGAATAATATATAAGATGAAAATGCGATTAGAAGACCCGCCGGTATGATGAACACGTTGGGTTGCGTTCATGTTATGCTCACCCTTTCTCTTTGTTCAGGAGAAGCTTGGACTAATCAATTAGTGCATGTATAAGTAAAAGCAGAAAGTAATCTGTTGAAAGTTTTTTTAATTTGTGTTTTCACTACTAAAGCTAATAAAATAGTCTCATTTAGTTTTATTATAGGAAATTCTGGAGATTCTGCGCTGTTTTTAGTTTGTTTGTTCAACATTGGTCAGTAGTAATACTCGTTGTCAACAGATTTCGCTAGTGGTACTTGAATTCAACTGCTTCGGCGCTTTCTTCTTCTTAATTGGCAAAGTAACTATTTATAGTTATGGAACTTGTACGTTTAGTGTTTGTTTGTTATTTGCTTCGAATTTTGACTACGGTGTTCGCGTGCAATGCGCTCACCTAAATGATATTAGCGTTAATGTTGCGCCGAGTGAAAATGCATCTGGTACATTGGTTCCAGAATTTCGGGGACCAAACTCCCCCGGTTTGCTACGAAGCGTGTACAGCCTCGGATTATCGGCTTTTCGGATTAATATTTGCTCGATTAAAGTAAACGTGGAGGGAACAATTCAGATTGGCTCGAATGAACACTCTATTGTCAGGACTTTAACCTCAACAATTATTTTTCAATCGACGAATTTATTTTTTTGGTTAAAAAATATTTGTTTATTGCGTATTACACAACGTTGATGTTTTAATTTAGTTTCAACATGTTGTTTAACTTTGTGCATACATGTGTCTGGGGCCTGGCAGCGAAAGGTCGTCGACATTTAGTTTTGCGGTGCGATGCGTGCGCGTGACGCCTCGTTTCGTTTGAAAATTAATTTAAACTTCATCACGAAAAGCAAACGTCTAGCAACCTTACACCTTCCGAGCCTCTTCAGCCGTAACACTCACCCTCGTATATCTTCCAGCGCATTTCGGCTACTATTGTACGTTTGTTGCAAACTTTTGTCTTCAACTCAAATGCGGCTTGCACTGGGTGGTAATAGAAGAACAAAAAATATACACATATAAATAATAAAGCGAAGAAACGTGAGTGTGATAGAAAAATAAAAGAAACAGGCACGCTGAGTTGAAAAACGCGCAAACTTTTTGAAAAGTTTGAAGCCACCATCAGTGCGAGTGCCCGACGTTGATAAAATTGGAATTTCTGTTTTCAATCAGCGTGGAAATTTTTGTGCGCATAGTAGACGTGTTTGAAAACATTGGAAAACAATTGAGAAACAAGAGAAACAACCAAAAACATTTTGATTAAACATTCTGAAAGTTTTCCATGCGATATTTCTGCTAATATAAATTTACGTTTGATTTTTATTGAATCAAACTGTTTACTCAGCATTAATTTTGCAACAAAAAAAAACCCGGGAATTTTGTAAGTTTATGTCAATATATATTTAGGTTAAGTTATGATTAAGCAATACATATTTTCAATGTGCAATTGTATGTTTTTGTCCACCGGTTTTTTCATTGTTTGAACATGGTCGAACATTTTTAGGCTGCGTAAACAAAAATGCCTGACGCTGGGGAAATTTTGGACACGTAAAGCATTTACGTGCGAAAGTTCAGCGATGAAACAAGTTCCCTGGGGCCACAGTTGTACAGATAACTTGACGAGTGGACGCGCGATTATTCACACGACCTAAAATGGAATTTTTTGTTAAATTTTGTCAAATCTTAGCTTCTCAACTCTTTTTTCT